TATATATATATATATATATATATATATATATATATATATATATTTTATCGAAGAACATTGAAAATTCTTCAGAGTATCCCTAATCAAAGACATTGTGAAAATCTTAGCCCTTAATATTAATGTATAGAGGTGGCTGTACTTAATTTTTTATTTCCATTTAAATAACATCGAAAAAAATTTTTTTTACTTTTGAATTTTGCTAGTCGACAACGAAGCAATTTATAGCTATGATCGAAACATATTCTTGTAGGAAATTTAACGATCTACAAAAATTGTCGAATTGAATATATGCGTACGGAGAACCATTTTGGAGTTATCAGGCTTCAAACATCGAACTGTTTTAAAAATTTAAAAAACGGTTGACGCGATCTGGTTGACATGATTCCAGCCGTTGTAGTGATCTGAAACAAAAAATTTGAAAAATTCTCAATTAGTAAAGGTGTCGCTATCGCGTTGACCTTAGTAAAAAAAAAAATTCACAAAATGACGTCGACATGAAATATCAATTTTTTTTTATTCCTTTTTTTGACCTTTTCGAATTTTTTACAAATACTGAAAATCGAAATTTTTCAAAATCCAAGGCAGACGCGATAGAGAGATATATAAAGAAGATTCCCACCAAATTTCAAAGTAATCGGTTGGGTAGAACTTGAGATATCATATCAACCACTTCAAAAAAAATAGTTTCGAGAAAAACGCGTTTAAAGTTTGAGAAACAAATCCAGTAGAATAACTCGGATAATAATATTTAATACTTACTTTGGATTAATCGGCAATCCCAGATCCATACATTGGGCCTTTTTCTACTTCATACTCAATGTTTTGCACAGTTTTTTCTGCTAATCGAGCTGTTCTGCCTTCTTTCGAAGGAACAGAAGCTCGCAGTTGTGTGACTCGCTCCGATCGGCCGACTTATATGCTGCGTCACAAAATCTACTGTATCTCCGAAAATAATTCGAATTTTGAAAAATCCATTTAATAACTTGTTCTTAAGGGTCTAAACTTTGAAAATATGAAAAAAAATCGATTTTTTCAAATTTTTAGACCAGAATACCCCCTTAACGCGACATTCCTCTCAGCAACGTCATTCACTACTTTTCATGTACTAAAAAATTGAATATTTTTTATGAAAGCTTCTGTGACTAGACCATAAAGTGATGTCGACATCAAGAAACTCAGTAAACAATCCAAATCGTTCAAACAACACCAATGATCTTTTAGAAACGAAATGACTTAGATCTTTTGTTAATAACGTATTCAACTAATTCTTATTGATTATGAAACGCTTTTTATTTAATATACTACTTTCTCGGGATTTTATAGCAGTTGCCATTCTAATTTTTATTTCCAGTGAAACACTCGAATCAAATAAAGCCAAAGCTGCTAATTCTTCAGAAAGGTACTACAGACGATCTCTCCGTTTTCTCAGATGTCTTTTTTGAAACAGCTGATTTAATTTTTTTGTCGAGAAGCAATTTTTTTATCAGCATTAAATCATTACTTGGCGCTGTTATTGCTGACGTTGCTAAAAACCACGCTTTTATGTGAAATTTTATCACAGAAATACAAAATTTGACGGACTCCTACAATTTCGGTCTTTGTTAGCTCCAACTGATTTCTAAACATGAATATTTTTAAATTATAAATCGCTTTTGCCATCCACCTTGCGTGATAAACAGCTCCAGGATATTTAAAAACTATTCCGTCAGATGGCAAAGCTCCCAAAAAAATCAAATCAGAGCTAAGTCCAGAAGCTCCTTGTAATCTCCTCTTGGTTGAGAAATCTACAACAACAACAACAATAATAATGATTATTTATATTATTACACATGCGAAACACAATTGAAAATAATTAAGAACCATAATCAACATTACAAGTAAGTAATTAGCAATAAGTATTAGGATTTCATCTTTTATATCTGCAAGGACTTCTTGAACTTCTCTGTCTGAAATCCCAGTAGTATATTTTTGTTGATCAATATTACTCCATTTATTTTTGATCCGAGTAAAAATCAAAACATTTGGACCTGAAGACGTAGGCCAATAAGTTTCAAATGCGGATCTCGAAACTACCCTGATTAAAAAAAAGTATTAAAAAGTATTGAAAAAGTATGTAATTCAATACTTTTTCAATACTTTTCACACACTGTATATCTATATATACATACAATATAGATATACAGTTGCATGGTTCAATACTTTTTTTAAATCAGGGTAGCTCAATAACGTGATGACGGCATGGGAAATAAGTCAACTCTCTTCTTAGTGATTATTCAACGAGAACACATGCACCTCTGTGAATTCCTTGAAAAAAAACCATGAATTACAAATTTAAATGTAAGTGCTGATAAATAACAAAATAAATAGCCAATAAATTAGCTGAAACAATAAAAACCAAAAAAAATTATTATTTGAGTTAAGGGGGTATTCTGGTTTGACGCCCTGATTTTTGTGCATTTTTTTGGGATTTTATTGTAAAGACCAACAAAGAGATAGAAATTTGAACCTTAACCATTTATTTATACATATCGTCCCGTTTCTGTGTAAACCTCGTATCTACAAAATCGTAATTTTCGGTAAATCGATAAAAACGTTTAGAGTTACTTAATTTTTATAAAAAGTTATAACTAATTCAAAATTTATGCTCTTTATCAATCACCTTAAAAGAATTAAACATGATTTTTGCTATCTGCATCGATGCTTTGTTGTTATTGTCAATTTCATGTAGATACGAGTTTTCTCATCAAACACCCTGGTGATTTTTTTGCAGATACGAGGTTTTGAAACAAAAAAAAATTGTTTTTTCTATAAGATCATTGGCGAAAAATTCTGTTATGCAAGGCTTTCAATTATTCATTATTATTTTATATTTATTAATTAAAACAAATTCATTTGATTTTGATTTAATATGTTATAAATCATGTGATTACCATTTATAGTATGATTTAATTATTTTTAACTTCTCGCTAAGAAAATCGGAGATCTTCAAAAATCGGGAAGTTATTGGTTTTACCCCCTTTTGTAAAAATTGATTTTTCACTAGATCTCGACGTTTCAAGGTCTCAGGAAGCTTCTTTGACCACCCCCGTGATGGTGTCTGTACGTCTGTATGTATGTATGTGTGTATGTGTGTACGTGGATGTATGTAAACCTCTCATAACTTTTGAACGGCTTGACCGATTTTATCGCAGTTGGTGCAATTTGGAAGGGCTTGACTGAACTTAGATTTTGAATATAATTTGGACTGATTCGCACTGGTAGATTTTAAGAAATCTCAAAAAAACTACGAAAAAAAATTTTTTTTTAATATGGTTTTTTTGGAATAACTTTTAAACGGCTTTACCGATTAATTCCAAAAACTAATTAGCTCTTAACATTAATAAACCACGTCGATTGCTGTCAGTCCGGTCAACATCGGTTGATTCGTTCGTGAGTTATCGTTGACGAAAGAAAACCGAAAAAAGTGTTTTTTCGGAATTACTCCGAAATTCGTGATAAAGATTTTTTATGAGGCTTAAAAAATTGCGTTGAATGTCACCAACCGCGTAAAAATCATTCCAAAAAAAACTATGAAAAAAAATTTTTTTTTAATATGGTTTTTTTGGAATAACTTTTAAACGGCTTTACCGATTAATTCCAAAAACTAATTAGCTCTTAACATTAATAAACTACGTCGATTGCTGTCGGTCCGGTCAACATCGGTTGATTCGTTCGTGAGTTATCGTTGACGAAAGAAAACCGAAAAAAGTGTTTTTTCGGAATTACTCCGAAATTCGTGGTTCGATCAAATTGAACTTAAAGATTTTTTATGAGGCTTAAAAAATTGCGTTGAATGTCACCAACCGCGTAAAAATCGTTCCATTTATTCAAAAGTTATCGCGGTTTGAAAATTTAAAAAATAGTGTTGTATCAAACTTCTATCAGACTTTTGAGCTCGAAGAGCTAAATATTTGTATGTATTTATATGGATAAAAAATAAATATCAATCAACAAAATATAGTCAACTTAAGTGTGAACACGTTTACAAACATTCAGTATTAAGACAACAACGCCATTTTAATGTTTTCGGCGATACTTACGGTAGATACGAGGTTTTTGAATTCGAATATGTAGATACGAGAAAAATCAAAAGCCTCTAAAAAAAATTCTATCATCTTTATGAACATTGCATGTTTTGTTTTACGTTACAAGAGTGCTAAGGAGTGATTTTCGCTAAAAATCTCAATTTCGAAAAAAATGGAGATATGAGGTTAACACAGAAAGGGGACAATATGGCAAAACAACGTTTGCCGGGTCAGCTGGTAATTCTATATTCTATTGTTTAAATTTTGAAAAATATGCATAGAACAGGATATATTTCCACGCACTTATATGTAATTGTAATTTTAAAATTAAGAACTAAAAATTTTTCGCATAAAAGTCACTTCTCGACTAGACTATGTGACTTTTAATTGGTGTAAAATAGGGACTTGAAACTCACATCAGTATTACGTAAAATCGTGACTTACCAGTGACGTAAATGTATGACTTGAAAGTCACATCAGTATTATGTAAGACCATGACTTACCAGTGACCTAAATGTACGACTTGAAAGTTACATCAGTATTACGTAAAACCGTGACTTATCAGTGACGTAAATGTATGATGGTAGTTACCTCATTATGACGTACAATAATGACTTTAATACGACATAACATTTTTAACTTCCCGCTAAGAAAATTGAAAATTTTCAAAAATCTGGAAGTTATTGTTTTTACCCCGTTTTGCAAAAATCGAGTTTTCATTCAATCTCGACGTTTCCAGGTCCTAGGAAGCTTCCCTGACTATTCCCGCGATGGTGTCTGTATGTCTGCATACATGTATGTATTATAACCAAAATTTTAACATCGTGTAGATCTGCTACTATGTAGTAGATTACTCAATGTTGTTTATACTTCTATCTCTCACTCTCGCTTCCAATCTCAACTAAAACCCAAGGCGCCAGATAATTTTAACACAAGAGAAATTACCAAAACTCAATAAATGTAACTCAAAACGAAAAATACTCTAAAACTCAATAAAAACTAGAACCTGAGGCTGGTAGCTAAAGCGGGAAGACAGGTAAACCACGGTGTCGCTCAGTATGCTGGTTTATGGAGAGAGGGAGGGATTCAAATGCAGATAAGAATTAATGTGATTATTAATACGCTTAGATATTCGATTAATCTTTGATTTATTAACAAAACTAACTAATAAAAATCATAAACGTAACTTGATAAAAAATCATAAATATTACAAAAATATACTGAATAATTTACTGACAAAATAATAATTAACTAAAACCTCAATGTAGCGTGATAAATCAAAAACGATAACTAAAATATAACCTGGAGCTCTAACAATTCTCATAATAAATCTCAATCACCCTCATAACTTTTACAAAACCCAAAAATACTCAATAAAACCCCAAAACTAAACTGACTCTAAAATCGTAACTAAAAACGTACTCAAAAATTAATCCCGAATAAAATCTTCATAAAAACTAAAATACCTTTACCATACCGTTCCTCGAGCTAAGATATCCCTTGGTGATTATTCTCCTGGGATTGGCTTTGGATTGGAACCATACACGTAAACTCAAAAATAATACCCAAAAATGACCATTTGGCTTCCACCGTCGACATGGTCAGCTACCTTCGGTGGCCTGCTACCCGTACCGTATCTGACCAAGTGCTAACTCCCGACGAAGTTGGTCAATCCTCGTCGTAGCCAACTAAAATTAAAAATGCCGTAAACGGCATACCGGTTCCAACCTCAACCAAATCTATACTGGAGCGCTGACATTACAATCAGACTTTTATAATTCACCAGGAAATCTCAGAGGGCTAGATGCCTAATAGCATCTACGAGGCCGGGTGACTTCAAGGTCCCGCTTAACGACAACGTGACTCGTCCACAAGCTCGAGACGCCAACATAATTCACACTTTACTTAAACCTTCTACATAACTGACTCTAAACTTACTCTTTCCAAAAATATGAAATACTGTAACTCAAATATAAAATTCTAAAACGATAATAATAGCTGTAGCATAAATGAAGTCTTTAGTACAATAAAACTGTATCTCAAAATGGCTGAAAAGAGAAGCCGTGTGTGTGTGTGTGTGTTTGTTTTTTTTTTTTTTTTATTTTTTTTTTTCTTTAACGAAGGTACGAGAAAAGCTCGGAGACAAAACTTTTTCACGAGTCGGCTAGAGCTAGCAAAACTTTATGCACCTGTGACTGGGATAGACGCCGGATCACCGGATCCTTTGGGAGTGTGAGGAAATAAAAAAATGAAAAAAATGTAAAAGAAAAAAAAAATTGGAATATAAAAAAGGAGCAACCAAAAGAAGATACTTTTGACGAAGGATAGTACACATCAGGATCGCATGTTGATCCAGAGTCAGAGTCAGAGGCTGAATCCCGGTCACAGCTTTATATTTATTTGATCCTTTTTTTCATTTTTTTCGTTCCTTTATTCTCTTTCTCAAGGGAGATGAATTTCCTTGAGAATTTCACCTCAGCAATGTTTTATGTTTGATCTCTTTTGAATGTTTCTAAATTTATTCTATTCAATTTTTCCGAGATCTAAATATGTATAACGTATTGCTACTATCAGTGAGGAGATATCGTTGTGATAAAATCAAAACTCTGAAAACCAAAATAAGATATATATATATATATATATATATATATATTTATATTAAAATGAAAATATTTATAAATTGAATTAATTTTATTTAAGCACCTTCAGTCCAAATAGTAGATGCTTTGGGTGACCAATTGAGAGACAAATACTATGAGGCTGACAGTACGATTGAATTATTGTGTGTTGTACGACACATGGCAATGCAAGTTCAGTACAGCGTGGTACAATGGCTCCATGGGAACCGTATCTTAAACTACGACACTACCAGAGGTGGTATTAGGTGAGCTTCATAATTATAATATAATTATAATTTATTTTAAAAGGTTAAACTATTTTGCATTTTCCCCATTCTAAATAATCTTATACTGAAACAAAAGTTAAAATCATAATAATCATAATAACAAAGTTTTTAATAAGTATTTAAGTCGCAGGGGGTTAATGGTCAATAGTTAATGATTAATAGTTAATAGTTAACGAGTTGGCTTTCAGCAAACAAAAGTAAACTCTGATGGTATATATAATATAATTATTATTAGTTGAATAAGGTTTTACTTGAATGATTCTCTAAAAATTTAAGTACTGGGTACTGGGTATATACTACTTAATAATAACTTTACTACTGCTATCCAGTACAGAACAACTTGAACCCTCGTTGACCTTATTTAGTGATCGTCTTGAGTTGCTTTTTCTATAATAACAACAACTTTAATTTTTAAAACTTAATATTATTATCTCAATTTATAATTATATATATATATATATATATTATACGGTTAAAGTTGAATAATGAAAATAAACATACATTCAAGATAAGTAATAGATAGTTTGAATAAAATTTCCGTAATTAAAGCGTCTTTTAGTATATATATAAAATGGTGAAAATAAAACTAAGAGAGAAAATTAAAAGAAATATAAAAAAAAAAAAAAAAAAAAAAAAAAAAAAAAATTTTTTTTGTATTTT